AGTATGTGTAGGAGAGGAGGGGGCATAGAAGGGTTAATAAAAAAAGATCCCTGTGTCATCTGCAGCTGCTGGTCCATTCATTCTGTGCCCAGTCACAAATGCTTGATCTCTCTCCTTCTCATGTTGTAAGGGGAAAGGGAGGTATCAGCACTGTAAACAATACCATGTGATCACTGTGATAACCAATCACAGGGATCACATGATACCTAGCCCTTCAGATTGCCTGGTACAGTGTCTCTGTGTTTCCAGCTTTCTACTGATAACTTGGCACACGGAGATCACCAGGCTATTTATCCAGTGACCTTCATAAACAGCACTGGTAAAATAAAGGGCTACCGATCCACCGCTGCAAAACATATGATGGTAGATAAATGGTTAAATAAAACATGTGCAGAAACACTGTATGTTTCCTTTAAACTGTCATTTCTGCCAGTTGAGTATCAGTGGAGCACTGAGAAGGATGGTGAGGGAATTTAAGAAGTATGAAATCTAAAATTAAAAATTTAACATATTGTGGCTTATCAATCATTGGCTGTCGTTGCTGCATTAGTGTTCTTTTTTTAGTATTTTTCACCTTCTGATTAGGTCAGTAACACACCTCCTGTATTAGTGTGCTCCCACTATGGATTAATGAGCACAGGGAGCACCTTTGGACAGCAGCATTGTCAGTTGGGGGGGGAGGGGAGTGTTAGATGCAGCTATCACATCTCACAATTGGTAAGCTGCAGTGTAATAAATGTTTACTTTGGGGTTTAATACTGCTTTAGACATCCATATTCCAGATACACAGCCAAAATAATATCACCTCTCCAAATCTGCATAATGGGCAGATGAAAATCTAGAAAGATTTCCTGTTTTTCTTCCAATTAGCTTATATTTATCAGAATCAACAATAAGTGTATATCAGGTTATTTGCGCTTTCTCCTCTTTTTTTGCGCTGCAACAGTGCCTGCACTGAATATTACAAGTGCCTTTTTAGAGGACGGTTTTTTTTTTCACAGTGGATGAGAACAGATGAGGAGCTGGAACTCAAACTGCTTTGTGTATAATGGCTATTTTGTCTGGAACCCACAAAAGCAGTCTATTGTCTAAAACATGATTTTTTCTTTAATGTGGTGCATGCAAAAAGCAGACATAGGGAAACGGCTTTTTGCTTTACATCTTTATTACTGATGTTTTTGCAATGTAGGAATCGTGGCAGGTATTAGTGTTGTTCATGAGCCCAGAGAAACCTCTCCCCCTTCTGTAGTGTCACCCTTTCTAGAATGTATTTTGAACATAATCCTTATACAAATTTTCTAGGGGAACTTCAAAGCTATCCTCCAAAAAAATGCAGTATATGACATACATAATACAATAGACTGCAAATAGGTTTCAACAGATACTCGGCTGTCACCCCAGGACCTGGACAACTGACAGTAGTAAAGAGGTCAAGTCCTGCATCAGTCCACCCAAACGTTTAAAAAAAGGGAGTAGAGTTTTACTTTAACATGTTAAAAGACAAGGTAGTCACTTTATTTTATGTGTGTAGAGTTACTGCTAAGCATTCTCAGTGAATGCCTCACCAAAAAGGCTTTTTAGATAATGATTAGTAGAGATTTACAATCCCCAGAAGGGAACTCGAACAAAGGAGAGATTAAAGTGCTATTCAAAAGAGTATTAAACATTGTTTGTTGATATCTAATTTGGGATTTTCTGAAGTAGATAGGACAATGTTAATTTCTTCATTAGCAAGAGCATAAAGCCAGTGAATGTTCTGCAACCTGTAGAATGTATTGCCCTGATTTCTCCTGATTTAGATGTCTTAAGAACTACTGTCTGCATATCAGGTGTATGCGGTTTGTTATCAAGTCTAGTAAATAATACATGTTTGCTAACATTAAGGCCTCTTTCACACGGACGTTCCAATCAGGTGCCCCTTGTCCGTTTCGCAGGGGGACCTGATTGGAACCTTCATTCTCCTCTGTGGAGTGGTGGGTGTAAATGGACATGTGTCCATTTATGCCCTCCTACATCCAATCCAATAAAAACCTCCATTCTCCTCTATGGAGTGCAGGGTGTTAATGGATGTGTCCATTTATGCCCCCCTACATCCAATGCAAAAAAAACAGAAGGATGGGGATATGTTCCCCTTCTTTCCAGCAGATCGGATGACAGATGGGTGTAAACAGACAGGTGGTCCATTTTCATCCAACTACGCATAGAGGAGTGCAGGCCGTGTCCGCTCTACATAAGTGGAGCAGACACAGACATATAATTTGCCTGCTGAGCGAGGATCAGAGGACAGATCCCCTGCTGAGCAAGCAGATCGCAGCTACAGTCTGCCCCTTGTGAAAGGGGACTAAAAGTTGTTCAATTAATATTTTACATTGAATAGTTAAGACCATAACTTCAGTCTTAAGTGATAAGTTCACCTTTTTTCCAAAAATGATAAAGGCACATTTTTTTTTGCGGTAAAAAAAATGTGCATTTATTATTTTTGGTTGCAAAAGCCTGAAAACCATTGCACCAGTAAGCAGCAGATTGCTGGTGCCATGCAGGTCTCCTGCAGATTTGTTTGTATATCTGCTTGCCCATACGGAATGTACGGACAAGCAGATATACTGACTGGAAGAATCAATGAACTACTACGGCACTCCACAGCGCGGGGACTTGTAGTTTCTCGTTCACAGAGCACTGAAAACACAGCCACATTTTTTTAAAATTTGACCACTAACGCGGAGAGAGGAGATCCCCCACTAGCTGTCAAAGCGGAGGGAACGGGGTCCGGTGCATTCATAACATACACCCTGAATATAGGTGTGAAAGGTGAACTTATCCTTTAATGTAAACCTGTTTTGAAAAGTGTCTTGACTAACAAAACAGCTAAACTAAAGCAGCTCCTGGTGCTGGCAGGCCCCCATGTTTAAAGAGTTTGAATACATAATATAGACACTGTATGTGTCTTGGATGCTCCAACAGCACAATTTACTTGCAATAATTCCTGACACCTGTGTCACCTGAGAGTTTTGAGTGTTCCTGCTCATCTTTATGCTTTTTAGCTCCTTCTGTTGCTTTCTCTGTAGGATAAATTATAGGTCCAACAAGTAAAGCAGGTTTGTCAACCCTGAAACTCAAGCTTCAAAATATCATCAATGGTGTTCCTGAGAAATACAAAAACACCCTACGTACAGAGTGTTCCAGGGGCTTTTCAGGTGCATGAGGATTGACTGTGACATCAGCACAGGTACTTGTAGTTTCAAAGTAGGGCAATCAAGAAGTAAAGCAGGTTTGTCAACCCTGAGACTCAAGTATCAAAATCTCATCAATGAAGTTCCTGAGAGATACAAGAAACACTCTATGCACAGTGTGTTCCAGGGACTTCTCAGGTGCAAGAAGGTTGACTGGAAGATTAGCGCAGGTACTTGTAGTTTAGAAGTATTTTAGTTTAAATACTTGAAGATCTGACATGTTTACATCAATGTAACCTTTGCAATATTCAAGCAAGTTGGTTTGTATAAATGAATACATGAAATCTGCAAAAACTCAGCATTTGTGATGTTTAAAGTGAATTCAATTTGCACAGCTGTTGATGTTTGAGCCTGTAAGTTAACCCTGTCTCTGGGTCTGTGGGTTCCCAAACCTGCTAGCCATAACACACACAATGCAATTTCATCAAATACAATATTCCACTACCCACAATATTATTGTTATTATTATTATTATACAGGATTTATATAGCGCCAACGGTTTACTCAGCTCTTTACATTATAGTGGGAGACAATACAGTAACAATACAGTTCAATACAAGAGGGATAGGAGGGCCCTGCTCCTTGGAGCTTACAATCTAGGAGGGAGGGGTGAATGGAACACTAGGTAGTACCTGTGGGGGATGGAGTGGTTGGAAGAGTAGAGGATTCCAGAATTAGCAGAGGGCGGGATAGGCTTCCCTGAAGACTTAGGTTTTCAGTGATCGCCTAAAGGCAAGTAGAGTAGGTGAGAGTCTGACAGATTGGGGTAGGGAGTTCCAGAGGATGGGTGACGCCCTGGAGAAGTCTTGGAGACGAGCATGGGAGGAGAAGATAATGGAGCTAGAGAGTAAGAGGTCTTGCGAAGAGCGGAGATTACAGTTTGGGTATATTTAGAGATAAGATCTGTTATGTTAATTGGGGCAGTGTTGTGGATGGCTTTATATGTCATTGTTAGTGTTTTGAATTTTATCCGTTGGGCAACTGGGAGCCAGTGGAGGGATTGGCAGAGAGGTGTGGCGGATACAGAACGGTTCATCAGGTGGATGAGTCTGGCAGCGGCGTTTATGATAGACTAGAGGGGGAATCGCCTGCGATGAGGTAGGCCAATGAGGAGGGAGTTACAGTAGTCGAGGCGTGATATGACAAGGGAGTGAATACGTTTCTTAGTATGATAATACTAATATGTACTTATCAGATTCTTGTCTTCAGCTACTGGAAACTAAGTATACCTGCAGCTGCTGAAAACTAATTATACCTGCAGCTTACTAATAGCAACAGGAAACACCAACCATCTGCATTGTATTTTTACTGGTCACTGACATGGTGAGTGTCCCTTTTAGGGGGTATTTCATACATATAATCCAAATAAACAGTCCCTAGTACCTGTCAAATAAATATTGAAATGCATGCAAATGCATAACTATAGTCATAGTATACCATGAATCTGCGAAAGGGTCCAGAGGCACAGGATACTGTTTGCCTTTACAGTGATTTATGCAGGTTGCCCTAGCTTTTGTAAATACACTTTGGATAAAATTAGTGCATAGATCATTTAGGAATTCTATGAAGGCAAATTGGATTCTGTATTTCTAGAGCAGTTATGTTGTGATGAAGATCTGATACACAGAGGGCCCCTTTGTGGTTTTGCTATTGATAACTGCCATAAATACACTATATTGCCAAAAGTATTGGGATATCCCTCCAAATCACTGGATTCAGGTGTTCCAATCACCTACATGGCCAGTGGTGTATAAACTCAAGCACCTAGGCATGCAGACTGCTTCTACAAACATTTGTGAAAGAATGAGCTCAGTGAATTCAAGCATTACACCTTAATAGGTTGCCACCTGTGCAATAAGTCCATCCATGAAATTTCCTTTCTACTAAATATTCCACAATCAACTGTTAGTGGTATTATAACAAAGTGGAAGCAACTGGGAACAACAGCAACTCAGCCACGAATTGGTAGGCCACGTAAATGACAGAGCGGGGTCAGCGTATGCTGAAGCACACAGTGCACGGAGGTCGCCAACTGTCTACAGAGTCAATAGCTAAAGACCTCCAAACTTCATGTGGCCTTAAGATTAGCACAACAGTGTGTAGAGAGCTTCCTGGAATGGGTTTCCATGGATGAGCAGCTGCATCCAAGCCTTACATCACCAAGTGCAATGCAAAGCGTCATAAGCAGTGGTGTAAAGCACACCGCCACTGAACTCTAGAGCAGTGGAGACGTGTTCTCTGGAGTGATCAATCATGCTTCTCTGTCTGGCAATCCAATGGACGTGTCTGGGTTTGGCGGTTTCCAGGAGAACGGTAATTGCTTAACTGCACTGTGCCAAACGTAAAGTTTAGTGGAGAGGAGATGTTGGTAGGGGGATGTTTTGCAGGGTTTGGGCTTGGCCCCTTAGTTCCAGTGAAGGGAACTCTTAAGACATCAGCATACCAAGACATGTTGGACAATTTCATGCTCCCAACTTTGTGGGAACAGTTTGGGGATTGCCCCTTCCTGTTCCAACATGACTGTGCACTAGTGCACAAAGCAAGGTCCATAAAGACATTGATGAGCGAGTTTGGGGTGGAGGAACTTAACTGGCCTGCACAGAGTCCTGACCTCAACCTGATAGAACATCTTTGGGAGGAATTAGAGGTATTGTAAAAAGTGGAAGCAACTGGGAACAACAGCGACTCAGACTCAAATTGGTAGGCCATGTAAAATGACAGAGCGGGGTCAACGTATGGTGAAGCACACAGTGCTCAGAAGTCACCAACTGTCTGCAGAGTCAATAGCTAAAGACCTCCAAACTTCATGTGGCCTTAAGATTAGCACAATAGTGTGTAGAGAGCTTCCTGGAATGGGTTTCCATGGCCGAGCAGCTGCATCCAAGCCTTACATCACCAGGTGCATTGCAAAGCATTGGAAGCAGTGGGGTAAAGCATGCCACCACTGGACTCTAGAACAGTGGAGACGAGTCAATAGCTAAAGACCTCCGAACTTCGTGTGGCCTCCATCACAACAACCGTGCGTAGAGAGCTTCATGGAATGGGTTTACATAGCCGAGTAGCAAAGCATCAGATGCAGTGGTGTAAAGCACACCCCGACTGGACTCTAGAGCAGTGGAGTGACAAATCACACTTCTCTGTCTGGCAATCTGATGGACGTGTCTGGGTTTGGCAGTTGCTAGGGGAACAGTACTTAACTGACTACATTGTGCCAAGTGTAAAGTTTGGTGGAGGGGGGGATTATGGTTTAGGGTTGTTTTTCAGGGGTTGGTCTTGGCCCCTTAGTTCCAGTGAAGGGAACTCTTAAGGCATCAGCATACCAAGACATTTTTGACAATTTCATGCTCCCAACTTTGTGGGAACAGTTTGGGGATGGCCCCAACATGACTGTGCACAAAGCAAGGTCCATAAAGACATGGGTGAGCGAGCTTGGCTGGCCTGAGTTTTGACTGGCCTGCACAGAGTCCTGATCTCAACCCGATAGAACACCTTTGGGATGAATTAGAGCGGAGACTGTGAGCCAAGCCCTCTTGTCCGACATCAGTGGCTGACCTCACAAATGTGCTTCTGGAAGGATGGTCAAACATTCCCATAGACACACTCCTAAACTTTGTGGACAGCCAGAAGAGTTAAAACTGTTATAGTTGCAAAGGGTGGTCCAACTTGATATTGAATATTACGGACTAAGACCGGGATGCCATTATAGTTCATGTGCGTGTAAAGGCAGGCGTCCAAATACTTTTGGCAGTATAGTATAGTTATGGCTCCAGATGCATTTTTGGCTCATGATGAATCTCCCAATCCATGAATACTGACTTATTCAGTGAACAGTGCAATTCTATGAAGATTAGGCAGTTTGAAGTCTGCATGCTTGGGATAATATTTGGTTTGCCTAGAAAGTATTAAATTTTCTTTATTATCCATTAAGGGACACAACTGGATGACATTAAGGCAATCTAGGGTTTTACCATCGCCCACAGGAGAAATTGATCTAAATAACTGAAGACTTTTCCCCTTGGGCTATTTTAATTTATCATCTGCAATTGCTTAGTTTTGTTGAGGCTTACTACCAATATTCGTTTGTGACCCTTCCCTTTGGCTTTACCCCATTTGTAGGAGTGGTCAAAGGCTTGCTTACCATTATTTTGTCATCCTTGTCTCAGATGTATTCTGCTGCTACAAGAGCAGACCTCTTTGACCTTGAATTTCATTGTGTCAATCACAATGCAGATTCTGGAGGATTTCAGATGGATCCTGAACATCAAGAAGTTATCCCTGATTCTGTAGATCACTCGGAGTACTTGGGCCTTTTCCTAGAAACAAAAACAGCTGTGTAGGAGGCTTAACACTGGATGAGGAATAGTCAGACTTTGCTACTAAGGTGAGCTTGTGGAAGACAGTTTCATATCACAGTTCGTACACCATGGCAAGACTGAGCACAGCAACAAGACACAAGGTAGTTATACTGCATCAGCAAGGTCTTTCCCAGGGAAATATTTCAAAGCAGACTGAGGTTTCAAGATGTGCTGTTCATACTCTTTTGAAGAAGCACAAAGAAACAGGCAACGTTGAGGACCATAGTGGTCAGCCAAAAAAGCTTAATTCAGCAAGTGAAAAACACATTATGCTTACTTCCCTTTGACATCCGAAGATGTCTAGCACTGGTATCAGCACACAACTGGTGGAAACCAGTGGGACTAAATTACATCCATCTACTGTCTGACATCATCACGTCTGTCTGAGATTACATGAAGAGACAGAAAGATTTAAAGCTGCCTACATCCACAGAATATCTGTAGTTAGTTCTCCAAGATGTTTGAAACAACCTACTTGCCGAATTCCTTCAAAAACTGTGTAGAAGCTTACCTAGAAAAATTGAAGGCAAAGGGTGGTCACACCAAATATTGATTTGAATTGGATTCCTCTTCTGTTCATTTACTTACTTTCCATTTTGTTTATTGATAAAAACTATTAACACTTCTGTTTCTGAAAGCATTCTTAATTTACAGCATTTACATCTGCCTAAAACTTTTGCACAGTAGTATGTTGTTTCTCCTGTAAAACGTTGGGATTTACATCTAGTATTTGTGGTGCTAGAAGCTCTCCTTTAAGCTATTTGAATCATGTCTTTTATATTGCTATCAAGTAAGGTAGCCTTTATTATGCCCATCACTTCGATCAGAAGGGTTTTTGAGTTATGGAGCTCATTTGATCTTACATAAGGCAACATTGTTTGAGACTAGAAACCTTCTTTTCACCTCATATGGTCTCTGCTTTCACCTTAATGTAAATATTGTATTGTCTTCCTTGTGTTTGGCACTGACTCAACCCAAAACGATTTCTCATTTCTCTTCTTTGTCAAAAACTGGTGAGGACCACTTTACTTTTCTGTCACTGCTGCTTTTAGACAGACTAATCCCTTCTTGCCATTCCTGAACATCCTAGAAGAGGTTATTCAGCTTCTAGATCTACTGTCTGTAAGTGGATTTGACAGGTTCTTTGTGCAAGCCTGCATGTTGTGAGATACAGTGGATATAAAAAGTCTGCACACCCCTGTTAAAATGTCAGGTTTCTGTGATGTAAAAAAATGAGACAAAGATAAATCATCCACCTTTTCCATTCTTGTGTGCCCTTCTCCAGACTGATACCTTTTAACAATGAGATCCCTCTGATGTTTTGAAAATTCTCTGTGGACCATGGCTTTTGCTGTAGGGATGCAACTTCCAAAACATTAGAGGGATCTCATTGTTATAAGGTATTAGCCAGTAGAAGGATACAAAAGAAAGAAAAGGTGGAAAAAAGTTTCTGAATTGATTTATCTTTGTCTCATTTTTTCACATCACAGAAACCTGACATTTTAACGGGTGTGTAGACTTTTTATATCCACTGTAAACACTTTCATTTCTGTTTAAGCTCACTCAACCTCAACTAGAGCAGTGAGTTTCTTGTTGTTGTGTTTGTTTTTTTTAATTAATCAGGCCTTGGTGTCACAGAATTGTAAGGCCATGACCTGGTCTTTGGCAAAAGGTTAATCTGTGTGTTTCTCCAGATGCTAGTTTTGGTGTACAGGTTCTACAAGAGACTATTCATTACACTTGATCTTCCTTTTGTTGTTATTTTTTTCTTGTTGGGCTGGTTTGCCTGTGTGGTTTCGGTGGCCAAGGGGCCTAGCCTTCATTTTTCTATGTGCCTTGTGTCCATTTCTCCTGTAGACTGCAGTATAACCCTAAGTTGCTTAATCATCATCAAGCTGTATCCCTCAGATTGTGGAATCTGAGAAAATATTTTTATGGTGAGTACAAAACCTGTATTATCATGATGCTCAACAAACTGATTTGCTCATCTTTACAGGTAATATATTATCCTTTCCAAAGTATGCTTTATTATTTAGCCTACATACAGTACAAAAAAATTACACAGAGGCAATTGTCCATAAGCCTAGATGTGAATGTTATAGTTAAAGTGGTTCTAAAGCCTCAAGGTTTTTTTCTACACTAATGCATTTAATGCGTAAAATTGTAAAAAACCTTCTGTGTGTCAGACTCCCACCCCCCTTATATTTACCTGAGTACCATTGTGATCCAGCGCTGTGCATGAGACGTACGGTTCTCCCAAATCTGTGCCTTCTCACTGGGCAAATTGATAGCAACAGGAGCCATTCCTGCTCTTGTCAATCAAATTCAGTGCCAGGGGCACAGGGCCGAGCCGCCCGGTCTGTGTCAATAGACACAGACAGGAAGGTTTGTGTGCCAGCACGCACGATTGCCACCATAGAAAGTGTTTTTCTATGGGAGCACTGGAAGGGGGGGGGGGGGAGCCAAGAGCTCCACCCAGGGACCCGAGAAGAGGAGAACCATTGCACAGAGCAGGTAAGTATAACATATTTGTAATTTTTAAATAAAAAAACTGAAGTGTTATTATTACTTTAACATTCTTTCATACGATCTTTTTGTTGTGTGCACATCCAGGACACATTCATTGTAAGTTGTTGGCCGATGTATGCGCATGTCTGACAGCACATCAAGGCTATGAAATGGTGTGAGAGCGCTTTATACTGCAATGTCTGCTAAACACATGAGCTCATTTGATTTTTTATTTTACACAAAGCTAAGTAGTAGAACACATTCCTGAAATAATTAAAAGATAATGCAATATTTTTGCTGTCACCATTGGGGGAAAACAATGCTTTTTCCATGATTTTTAACATGACCATGTTGTC